GACCCTGAGGCTGGGCATTGTGACTCATGCCCTAATCCCAGCACTCAGACTGAGGCAGACAGATTATCAAGTGTTCAAAACCAACTCAGGCTACGTAGTGAGACAGTGTCTGCAGTCAATCAAAAACCAAACAACAAAGCATAATACAACAGAAAGAAGTCCTTCTAAAACATAGCTAGAGGTCTCATGAGGTTGCTGTCACCTGGGTCAAGTGAGGGTTAGATGTATAATGTAGAAGATGGAGAAAATTCTAAGACGTGGGACAAAATATGTGTAGAAACCTAAATGTATGCTCTTTAAAACTGTTTATAAGGAATCATATTTTAGCTTAGAAATTGAACCATGAGCTTGGTAGTGACACACACTTATTGTAACCTATCACTCAATAGGGCTAAGTAGAAAGATTATGTGTGTAAGACAGGCTTGAGACATGTAGTAACTTCCAGGCCAGCCTGGGCTATCTATTGAGACTCTGACTCAAATATAACAAAATATATTTAAACATCTTTGATTGCATTATGAAAGTAAATTAGAGGGATGGTAGCAGTTCTGCAGTACAAAATTGCTAAGGGCTGTGCAATGGTCTAATTTAAGAGGAACATTCATGAAGATTTTATATTTTGTGCTTCTGAGATGGTGTATTCATGTCATCAGAGTTGTCCAGGTAAAAGAGGCTAAGATTCCAAAATACAGGAATGATGACTAGGTGGAGTAGTTTTGGCAAAAATGGAAGAGTTAGGGAAGAGAATAGATAAAACTGAGCTAGTTCATATAGGAAAACAAGCAGATGAGGGGGTGTATAATGAATCAGGCTACTGTGTCAGTCTATGAGAAATTCTCATTGAAGCTGACTAGTTGGTAGTTTTCAAGAACAGGCTGTGCCCCAAGAGTCTCTTGCATTTAGATTTTAAATCATTATTGTTGATAATTTTGGTGATCAAAGGAAGAAACTTAAATAGGGGCCACTAATGCATAGTGAGTGAACATAGTGCCTTGAGCCAAAAAGATGCCCTGGAGGGGCTGCGTCCCTCATTCCAAGGATGATGATGAGGATATGAATGGCCAGCATAATCCATAACTTGTGGCAGGACACAAACATGGAAAGGTAGGGTGCAGCATTAAGATTTAGGAGAGTGGGTTATGGTTGAGAGCCCTCTAGTGGAAGGAAGCTGGGTGTTGAAGCGCCTGGAAGCAGCCCTTAGAAGCTGAAGTTCAAAAGGTCTTGTGAATGGTACCTCATGACTGTTTATACCTCCTTTGGATATAAGGGGCTTACTTTCTCACCGGGAAGAAATTATCCAGGGGTTCTTTTAGTCAGTGTAATTAAACTATATGTAAATTTGTCTTTGCTTCTGCCCTCCCAGAGATAGAAAAATGGAGGTTGTAGAAGAGCTGAAAATTTTATAGATTTTCTTCCACAGCACGCAGGGAGTGTCAGGGAATTTTTGTTCCAAGGGAAGTTACCAGAGCTGACAAGCAGTAAAGAAAAGCTGCAGGGACCTGAATGCCAAGTCCACAGAGCTTTCAAACCATCCTGGAAGGTGGGTCAAGGACCCTTGAGAAAAATAATTTCCAAGTGTAACATTTGCTGTTTATCCATCTGTTTTCCAATGCCCCTTCTGGAAAATGGCTTGCTTTACTGGTTATTGTCTGCATTTATTGTCTGAGGTGAGTAAGGAAGACTTGCTCCTCCCTTTGCTTTATTAAATTCATAATTGTACAGAGAGAAAATTGTGTGATGACATGTCTTCAAGTTGGTCTCCAAGTTGCAGACAAAAAGGCAAAAGTGTCCTTTTTATAAGTCTTCATTCACTTTAATTGCAGCATTCCTAAAAGAATCCACAGAAACCATAATATTGTATCAAAATCCAGAAGTTATAACATTTATAGAAAAAGTAAGGAAGCTTTAGAGGTAGAAATGTAACAAAAGTTTACAATTCTAGATTTATGGTGTATGCCTGTAAGCTTTTGATTATATAATACAGGGCATATAAGATTATATATTCATAAAAGTATGTATCTTCTGATTTATATCAAGGTGTATTTGCATATTAATGTATATTCTATCTGCTTTTTTAAATTTTAAGAACTCTTAGGGACCTTTTTAAATTTTAAGTATGTACAGTAGGTGACAACTTGACTTTTATAAAGTACAGACACTCACCCTACACATCAGTAAAGAGCATCATTAGCTGCCACATAAACCTTTATCTTCAACCTTATCTTTTCCTACATGGATGGCAATATGCTGATTTGCATCCCTGTAGATAGTATAGAGTATGGCTTTTATGAGTCTGGCGTTTGGGAAGCAGCATTGTTTCTGTGAGGTCTGCCCACATGGGTACATAGACTAGTTGTTTATCCTCTTTCTGTTGCTATGGGAGTCTGAAGTAGAAGACACAGCTATCACAGTATATGCAGTCTGCAGCTGCTGGCCATTTCGGCTTTTGAGCCAGGGACTGCTCTGTGTATTGCTCATTTGTGAGGCTTCTGGTGCATGCCTTGTGAGCATGTTTGCGCTGGATAAGACCTCATTCCTGTGGGCTGTATACCCAGAGTTCACCTTTTGTGGGATACTGTCCATCTGTTTCTGAAAATAGTCCTGCAATATATGAATTCCATGGTCGTAATAACACCATTAATGACTTTTTGTTAGATTGGTTTTGGGTTTTTTGTAGCATTTAAAAAACATTAACTTTAAATGCATAGCAATATTTTGTCATGAAAATAAATATACTGTAACTTGACATTCTTTTGATGGGCTTTTGCTACCTCTAACACAGCATGGACAGCTAGCTTTCCTACCTAGTGGGCTCTGTGGTTTATTCTGTGTGTGATCTCATTCATACATACTTTTTCCTATTTTTTTTTAACTCCCCCTCTTTCCCCCCCCTTTCTTTCCTATGTGGTAACAGCAGGAAATTCATTTGAATAGTTTTATTTGGTTGGCAAGAAAGTGGCTTTTGATTTCATGGAGACAGGGTTTTCTCTGTGTAGTCCTGGCTGTCCTGGAACTCAGGCTGGTCTTAAACTCAGAGATCTGCCTGCTTCTGCTTCCCAAGTTGTGTGATGAAAGGCATGTGCCACCACTGCCCAACCATTTTCTTCACTCTTAGGAGTCTGAAACTAGATTTTACTGAAAATATTGCCCAACACAGCTAATTTAATTATCCAGAATAATCAGCGTTCTCCTCGATAGCTGCCAGTACTTCCATTATAAGTACCTTCTACCACTGGGAAACATCTCAGGAAATTACTTGGGAACATTTTCAAAAAGAGAATCTCGTCCTTTGAAAAAGAAAGATGTTAGACTAGTGAGATGACTCATTTGGTAAAGGTGCTTGTTGATACCAAGCCCAACAACCTGTGTTTGCTCCTGAAACCTACATGGCAAAAATGAACGGACTCCCATAAATTGTCCTTTGACCTTGTTTGTGCACTGGAGATGCGTGTGTGCACGCTCACACACACACACACACACACACACACACACACACACACACACAATTTTTCTACATAGTCTTCCTTTTAGCTTCTCCCTCCATGTTCTTAATAGTCATCTTCTCACAGGAGTTGCTGAGTGTCTAGAAAACCCTGAGGCATTGCTTTTAGTTAACATTTGATAATGGCATGATAGCCATGCTTCCTGTTTAACACCATAGCTTTAAACAGCTGTTGGCACAGTGGTATTTGGTGGTGCCCCATTGCCACAGTGGGCAATTCCTAATGCTGTGACCCTTTAATACAGTGACCCCCAACTTACATTTATTTCATTGCAGCTGGGTAGTGGTGGTGCACACCTTTAATAATCCCATCATTTGGGCGACAGAGACAGTTGGACCTTTGTCAGTTCCAGGTTAGACTGGTGGTGTACACAGTGAGTTCTAGGCCAAGCTCCAAAGCTACAGAGAAACCTTGTCTCAAAACAAAAGCAAAATTATTTCATTATTTCATTGCTAATTTATAACTGTAGTTTTGCTACTGTTAGGAATCATAATGTAAATAGCTGAAGCAGGCTATTGGGGTTGCAGCCCACAGGCTGAGAACCACTGCTTTGGAGACTTACAATTTTTTAATTTTATCAGTCAGATGATCTTTTAGAAATGCCATATTTTTTTTCTCTCTTTTTCTTTTTTTCCCTGATCTCTCTGCTTTTTCACTGTTGTGTATTGGTTTTTTTAAAGAATAAAATGACCAGAATGACTGTGTGATTCTCGAGAGTTGTAGAATGTTTTTTGACTTTCATATGTGCAAATTGTCCACATCTCTTAAGTAATTGCTGACAAGAAGCTCTTAGCAATAGCAGAGAACTGTTGTTGTGTAGTCTGTTCTGTTTGGAAGGGACAGTCAGGTCTGGAAACCAGTTTTAACTACTGAGCTTTCTTCAGAGGTCATGTTGTAACTGAAGTCCACAAGTCTGCACACTCTTGCTTCTCTCTACTAATGGAGAAGGAGTTAAGATGCTTAAATGAATTAGCAAGTAGCCGGAAAGCTTACTGAAGACGGTGTTCAATGACCCTTCCTTTCCTAGCCCCTAAATCTTTTTATTAGTGTCAATATTGAAAAATAAAACTTGCTGAGTAGATCTTTCTCATAGCATCTGTTAAAGTCTCTCTCCCCTGTCCGCTCTCTCTTTTTTGAGTTTCTTGTGTAACAGCCTTGGCAAGTATTTCATTTCATTCTTAACTAGATGTCGAATGCAGGTCTGACAAGTAATGTTACTTGGAGATCTTCTCAATATCATAGTTATGGAGTAAGTTTGCAGATTAGTTCTAGAAGCCACTATAAATTCTTTGTTGATAAAATGTTTTGATTTCTCATGGATAATTTCTATGTCCTAGTCATTGTGGTCAGGCTAGCACTAAGGAGTTTTCTCAAATTGTAGCTTTCTCACACAGTCGTATGTAGACTCAGCACCGAGCTACTGAAACCACCAGAGCCCTGATTGACTTGACAATGATTTCAGTGCCCCACCAAAAGCTATCTTTCTTTCCCTGTAGGCATCAGTCAGAGCCGGATCTCTCATTGGCTGTTACAGCAGGGGTCAGACCTGAGTGAGCAGAAGAAAAGAGCATTTTACCGATGGTATCAACTTGAGAAGACAAACCCTGGTAAGTACTTCTTTTATTTATTGTACCTAAATGAAAACCATAATTATTTCATTGAATCCATGTGCTAATTTGTTCAGAGAAACTGTTTCATGTGTTAGTGTCTTCCTTTATGCAAGTAGGCAACTGTAAAGCCTAAGCCCTGGTGGTAATTATGGTTAGGGGTCTGTTTCCTGGGCTGGTTCACCTTCCTCTCAGCCACCTCTTGGCTTCCAGATCAGGTGACTTTCCTAGGTGCAGCTTGGAGGAATAGTCATCATATCAGGGACTGGCTCTCTTTTCAACTCTGATTGTACCCTTTTCAATTTTTGGAACAATATTTTGTTCATTGTATGTATTTAATATTGTTATTGAGTTCATTCTGTACCATTCCAAAGATCTTTCTAATTGTGGTTCTAATGCTTGTGACCTGGGTAATAAGTACATTTTGGAGTTTTAAAGTGAAGCTATTCACTTAGCTCCCAGAAGCAGAACTAGATTGGAAACTAGGATGAAATCTGAAGGAAAAAAAATCATGAACGTCTTGGTATCTGGAGTTGCCAAGGATAGGCAACATTTATTCCAAGATGCTTTTTAACAAGTGCTAGATCAAGAAAAAGTATGATATCGTAGGAGGGGCTATTTCGGGCTGCATGTTACTCAGGTCGTGGTAATGAGCCTCATCTCAAGTGTGCTGTTACCTTCTGCAGTTCCATTGCAGCAAGCCTGCAGGCATGCCAGGGGAGGTGTTGCATGCAGTAGCACTGGCCCTGAGCTGCAGATAAAAAGGACTGCATGGAATTGCCTTTGAGGGTGTGTCTATGCTAAGTTTTGTTTGTTTTTTTTCAACATTTAATACATTCTGAACAAAAGTGCCTTGGTGAGACAAAGAAAAATAGGAAGTATCAATCTATACAAAGAATTTCTAGAATCTATTCTCCCCCATTTTCTCTTTGGAAGGGTTACAGATATACAGACATTTAAAAAGACCAACAAGGTGTCCAATTACTTAGTTACCTTAATAGATACAAAACTTAAGAGCATTTTGCTATGTTTGCTAATAATTTTTAAGATTTATCTGTGTGTCATGTCCTAATAATGAGGGTAGTTTTCTACATAACCACAATCTCCATCATCATACGTAAGAAAATGAATACTTCCACAATTACCCAGTCCTTTATCACATCTCTCTGTTACAAAAGTATCTTGTATAGCTCAATATCTGTTTCCTCCCCAACTTAACCCACTTTCTCCCCCTCTCTCTTTTAATAGCAGTATCAGTTTTAGGTCAGCAAATTAGACTGCTTCTCTAGACTCTTAAATCGCCCAATTTTTTTATTTTTTAATGATACAAACTTTTAAGGTCTTGTTCTTTTACAGAACATTCCGCGTTGTACATTTTTTCAAACTGTTCACTTTTACTTCTAAAGGACTTAGTCCTTTATCTTCTATTTTGCCTATACAGTAGGAGTCCAAATTAAGGACCCCATTAAATCCCAGTTGGATGTTTGCCAAGAACAGTGCATAGATTTTTTTTTTTTAAGGGATTCCTGTTGTAATGACTTAAACTTACATTGAGATGGAACAAAAGTAATATGATTGATGGGGAAATGCATGGGAGGTATAAGGGAATATTAAGTAGCACAAGTACGATTTTTCTGTATGATATTTTTTCTCAATAAAGCATTAGGCGAAAATACTGTGAATAACTTGAATTTCATGTTGCCACATGTCATGAGGTGTTGTCAGGCGGTGGCACTGTTCATGCACTGTATGTGATGGTGCTGTTAAGATGGAGTTAGGTCTGTGCTCTGCATTTGTAAGTAGTCTTTGCCACTACTTTTGCTGTGGGGTGAGTACTCTGTCCTGTGGGGCAGTCTCGTCATTTCCTGAAGATCATTGCTCAGTCAGTTATCCCGGTGTCATTATAATTAGATCCTCTCATTCCTTCAGCATTTATCAGCTTCAATTTTTGTGCTTTCATATTTTCTAGCAATGTCTCGAAGCATAAGCAGATCTTTTGAAAAACTAGTTCTATGCTTATTACTGTTACGTATTTCAAGGCAACACCATTCACAGGGGAGATGTAATACAAATAACATGTAGTTTCATATTTTCTGGCAACCATATTTCAGAAAGAAACAGTGAAAATTAGAGTAATGATATATGTTAGCACATGTCACTTCAGTGTTTCATTTCCATTTTGAAAATTGAAGCATTCCCTCTGCCTGCTTATTTCTTGTCCAGATTCTTTAGATATCAGTGTGTATTTTACACCTACAACACAATTTCCAACTAGCTACATTTTAAGTGTCTAGCTGTCACACGTGGCTGGTGCTTCCATATGAGGCCAACACAAATCCAAGATATTCTTGAAGCAGCCCGTCAGACTTGATGCTACGCAGTCTCCCAGAGTTGAGTTTCCTTCTGGGATTCACAGCAAAGCTAGGTGGGTGGAGAGGGAAGGACACTTGGTGTGTGGTATGCTTCAGAGTAGCCTAGACTGACAGCAAGAGTTGAGTTGGGTGAGTGAGGAAAACTGTGTGTGTGCCTAGGACGTGGTACCTAGGACAGAACTGGCATAGAGACTCATCATGGTTCCCGAGGCTGGAGTTTTAGGCCATACTCCAGCTGGGGCAGGATAGAAACTGTTGACACAATTACTTTACTAGCAAAGCAAGGAGAGCTGCAGCAGCATGCTGAGGTAGAGGTTTTGCTCACTGTGGATTCCCTCAGTCAGAGTCCAGCTTGCCACCTTTCAATGATTTTATTTTTGTTTTTAATCTTAATTCCCATTTAAATGTGTCTTGGAACCTGAGCTAAGCCCACCCAGCACAGAGACCTTTGAACGAAGTTGGAATGTAAGGCACCCAGATGGGAGGCATGGGGAAGGGTAAACACACTCATGGGGATCGACCCTCTTGCACAGGCCATATCTCATTTGAAGAGTGCCCCTATGTGCATACATTGGGCTTTTCATTGACGTTGCGCCACTGCCTCCTTTTTAAGAACTCTTTGTTTAAAACCCTAGTCTATACCCATTCCCTTCAATTTTCTTCTGTATGGCATAATTTAAAAGTATTTTTTTTTAAAGTTAAGTTGCTAACTGTCAAATGGTAGTTTTGTTATGCTTGCAATAGTTGAATATTATCTGTCAGAATGTAAGCTTCTTCTTTGTCTTTTCACCTTTAATATAAAGAGGTACTATAGCATAGGATCCTTCCTGGATGTATCAGTGCAGCTTTGCTGATGTTATTTCCTCTTCTGCGGGTAATCAGAGTTGCTGTTGTCTTTGAATACAGTGTTGCTCCTAAGACTAGGTTCTTTTCTCTCTGCCTGTCATATAGTTATGTGGAGTGCCTCATGTTCTTTCTTGCAAGTTGCTAGAATCACCCAATTGAGAGCTGGTTAACTTCTCTACAAAAGAATATTGTAGAACTCTATAGTTAATTTTAATGTGTTTTGTGTGAATTATATTTACATGCAGTGAAGCAGCATTCAGAAGTTAAAAATGTAAGATAAGATACAAAACAATATACATTGCATTGCTATCTGTATTCAAAGAATATTCACACACACACATAGGCAATTTAGATTATGTAAGTATGGAAGTTGTCAGGAATTTTTACTTAGGCCCCTCTAAGAGCTCTACAGCTCTGAAGAGGCGCTGGTATTAAGGGGAAAAGTAGAAAGGCATAATTATATAACCTCTGGGTCTTTGTTAACCTTGTCCTTGGGATTGAACATAGGGCCTCCTGCTTACAAGGCAGGCATTTTACCTTTGAACTGTGGCCCTTCTGTGGCTTTCTGAAATTTAGATCATGTAGTTTGTGTTTGGAAAATGCATATAATATGAAATGGAAGGATGGAGGAAGAAAGATGTTACACTAACAAGAAAAGAACTCGCTTTCTGAAATGTGTTCCCAAAAGCAGTTTATAGAAAGTAAGCCCTGGGTAAGTTTATTAGGAGGTAATTTGCTGATACAACACCCTTTGCTCTGCCCAGCAGACAGGTGATCAGGAGAAATGTAAATAGCATCATGTTTTCACATACATTCTGAGAAGAAATACAAAATTGAGGCAAACTACAGGATGAAAAGCTGGCTTCTGTTCTCTGATACAGAAATCTCTGGCAAACAAATGGCTGTATTTGTAGAATCTTTGCCTACTCTTGACCCTCATGGACTTTGGTTGCATTCCACAAGTGACCTCTTTTCAGCCTCCTGTCCATTCAGAGTTTTATAAGGTCTCTTTTTTACAAGGTTTTCTTTTCCCGAACTCAGCAAGGAAACAATAGGGTTATTTTGACTGATGATCCAACATCTATAGGTACTATCAGAATTTCCTAGCATGTCCCAAAGCCTGCTAAAGACAAGTTGATGGAAACTAATCATATGCACTTAGTTATCTTGTTTCTTATGACTTTTACAAGAAAATGCCCATTTTCTTAAAGAGCGAAATACTAAATTCAGCATGTTTGCTGCGAGAAAATTTTATTAATTCAGATTAAGCTCCATAGTCTTCTCTTGTCTGACTCAACCATTACTATTGTAGGCAGGGTTTGTGGGGCCCCGGCAGGGTCAATATAGTTAACCAATCCTGCAGGCTTCACATTGAACACAGTCTGATGGGAGGCTTGTGTGTAATACACATGAAGTCGCTGTCAGGTCAGAAAAAAACACCCATTCTTCTCATGTAGCATACCAGAACTCCAGAAAACATGTGTGTGACATGGGAGAATTTGAGAAAGACTTGGGAGAAGCCATTTTCCTTTTCCGTGGATAGAATATTAGTTGATTTTTTTTGTACTAGCTGATTACAGGTGCTCAGCCAGTTCTAATACGGTACATAGGATTCTCTTGTCTACAGGAGAAAACTCATATTGAAAGCTTACAATCTAACAGTAAATTGAAAAGTGGGTTTTTTTTTTTTTTTTTTTTTCCTCATGGGTTGAGATTTGCCAAGTAAGAGTACAAAATTTTTTTTTAATATGAACTAAAGTGTAATGTGGAAAAGTGTTACTATAAAGAATTAAGTTACATGTAAGTGGAGTTCTTAATTGGTCTAGCTAATAAAACTCTATGGTCAGATATAGAGGAAAATGCTGAGAAATCAGAGACGGAGCAAGCCACTGCCACACCTTGCCCCTTTCATGTCTCAGCAGTCAAGAGAGCAAGTTCCTGTTTCTGCCCAGCTAGTTCACTTCCTGTGTGTCTGTACCAGACTTCTATGGTTAGCTAGTGGCAAGGTCCATTCTCTGACCTTCAGACAGGCTCTATTTATACAAGGCACATGGACTCCAGCCCAGAATTCCTGTATCACTGCAGTTAAGTTTTAAGGTATTCCCACATTCTAGTTTCTTTGCATTGTTCTGTCAAAGTCAGTAATTTTTATCCTATTCCTGTATAATTTAATGTTCCCTGTCTGTCTGAACCAAAACAAAGTAGACTGTACTTTCTAGAGGAAATCTGTATTCATTCCAGAATGCTTCATGTGCCACTATTTCTTGTTTGTTTGTTTTTTTTTCCTTTTACCGTGTGTGTGTGTGGGGGGTACACATGTGGGTATGTGTGCACCTGAAGGTCTGAGGTCGATGTAAAGAATCATCCTCCATCTTGTCCACCTTATTCACTGAGGCAAGGTCTCTCAGCTGAGTCCTGAGGGCACAGTCTTGCCACCTTTAGGGATCCCCAACTTCACATTCCCAGACTGGGTTGCAGGTAGCTAACTACAGTGCCTACTTGGCTTCTTGTGCTGTTTTGAATGACTGCTACATTGAAAAAGAAATGGAATTCAAGGGGTAGAAAATGTGATATTTTTAAAATGATGGATATTTACATGTTTAAATTGTTCTGATTTAGCCTTCTGTACATAGTCTTGATTTCTTTCAAAGTCACCAGGTCTACTACTACTAACTACTTCTTCCCTTGGTTTTATTCCCCTTTTCCTCCCTCCTCTTTCTTCCTTTCTGACCAACTTTATTTTAATCTAAATTACTTTTTTTAAATGATTGATAATAACTATTAACAATAAACCCCAATAACAAAAGAACACTTCAGTTGTTCATTGGCTGGCCATGTCCTTCAGCCTCTCAGGATTCTGCTCTCTGTTAATTTGCATCCCTGGACCACATTGCCTACCTACAAATACATGCTGCAGTTCTAGGAGTGCATTTTTGAGCTCACTGCTCTGTTGCTGTCTTCTCCCCCACCCCCTGTACTCTGTAGCTTCACTAGAGGACGCCTCCAGTAAGAGATCACAAGGCCTTATCTAGTCTATTTCTGCCTACATCTTGACCAGTTGTGATGTCAGTTAGTTTGGTTGTTTTAGACATTTTCTTTCTGGAACAAAATTTATATAATTTTAATTAGGTAGATTCTTACCCTAAACTCTTGCCATGCTGTAATTCTTGCTTGCTTTGGGAAAAAATAGGAGACTTTGAACCAGGTTATTTTAACAAACTTTTAAAAAAAAAAATTGAAATTTATTTATGTGTATGAGTACTTTGCCTGCATGTGTGCCTGTGCACCATTTACAAGCTTGGTGTCCACAGAGGCCTGAAGAGGCCATTAGATCTCCTGGAACTGAAGTTACAGACAGTTGTCAATCACCAAATGGGTGCTGGGAATTAAACCTGGGTCCTCTGAAAGAGCAGCCAGAGCACTTAACTGTTGAGTCCCCAAGCCCCTTTTCTCAAACCCACTGGCCATAATATAAAAGTTTCAAACCCACTTGTTTTAATGGAAAAAACTCACATTCACTGGCTGCCTGGAAAAAGCTTATGAACTTAACTTCATATAAATTAAGATAAAAAATACCATAAAGATACAAATAAAACAGTAATTACTGCTTTGTGACTAGTAGTTGATGTTGCATCTCACATAAAACCTATAGCTCAATAGAAAAAGGACCATAAGCTAACAAAAGATAGATGATAGTCAATAAACAAGAAAGGTGCTCCTTTTTTTTTTATTAGTAGTAAGGTATTTTATCATAAAGGTATTTTTTTCTGCCATATTGGTGCGTCTTAATAAGTAATATGCTTACTGTTTGGAGGATGTGATGAAATAACAGCTGGAGATGGTTATGATGTATATTAATTATCTGCTGTGATACATACCATGCTACATTTTTTCAGCTTAGCACAACAAAGATTTATTTTCTGTTTCTGTAGACCAGGAATCCAGGAGCAGTGTCCTTGTGAGCTTTTAGACAAGCAGTCAGTCAGGGCTGCAGTCACTGGAACTGGACGGTCCACTTGTAAGGCCACTCACATGGATGCTGGATGTCGCTGTCCCCTACTGCCTCATGGCCAGAGACAGCAGTTCCTCAAGAGCCCCATCATCCATTCTCACCTAGTAATTCCTCCCTTGAGCAAGTGATCTGAGAAAGAAAACAAAGAAAGATGCCCTAGAGTCTCAGTTCTTAATGAGACATGGCTCTCACACAGTCTAGTCATGAGTATAGAATGAGCAAGCACCACACAAGGGCACAACTACCAGGAGGCAGGGAAGGATCCATGGAGCCCTTGGGGGCTGGCTACCAACATGCCTTTATTGGAACGATATGTTTGGATATTTATGTCTGTCAGCTGGGTATAGAAGGCTCCACATGATGTGTATTGTGTCTTAGTGTACAAGATAGCTTTTTCCCTCCATTATCTGGCACATGTGGAATGTCAGAAACACCTGGGGATAAGGTGAATATCTTTCACTCTATGCACACTTTCCACATGGCTAGTGTGTGAGGCTAATCTTACTTCTTTTTTCTTGTTTGGGAGGCTAACATAGTACAATGCTATCTCAGAAAGTGTGTGTATGTATGTGTTCAAAGAGAGAGAGAGAGAAAGAGAGAGAGAGAATGTGTGTATGTTCAAATAGAGACGTTATCTATGATGTAACTTGATGATATGATAGAAACAGTTCCTATCATGAAGAAACTCGTGTTCATTGTGTGAGATTAACGTGTATTTATATGTACATAAGCCCTTTGAATTCTAACCTGCCTTCCTAGGACTGTGTTAAGAGTTGATAAGCCAGCCTTGATGAAGCATGGCCATACTTCTAATACTTGAGGTGGAGGCAGGAGTTCTATGCTGCCTTACTCCTTGTCTCAAAAGAAAGAAAAAAAGTTTGGATTAAACTCCAGTCAGAGGGAACGTCTTGGAGGCTTTGATCAGAAGAGTGATATAACTGTAATGTGTTTGGGGAAGATGAATTTAGCAGTGTAAGCAGTGAAAGAGGAAGGGTAGGCAGAGCCTTACATGGAAACATGCCAAGCTCTGTGCACATCTGTGAATTAAGTCCTTGGAAGCTGAAGATAGTGTGGCTTCTGGTTTGAGTGTAGCCTCAAGTCTAGAACAAGCCACAGGAAAAAAGACGTGTGATAAATCAAGAATTAGTGAACTATAACTGGACGAAGCTATTAGAGGAAAAGCTGGTTTAAATTAGTGAAGCCTCTCTCTCAGATTGAAATTGTTACAGTCAGAGGTAAAAGAATATAGTATTAGTAGGTGATAGACCTATAGAGACGGGACCCTGCTCACTAAGTACTTGTGAAATGCCATCTTATTTTCTTTGCTTCTGTATTCAACATTTTTCTTTTTGAGGCAGGGTCTCATGTAGCTGGGGCTAGCCTTAATTCCTGATCCTCCTACCCCTGGCTTCCAAGCTGTAGGATTACAGATGTGTATCACATCTGGCCTGGTGTCGGAATTTCAAAAAACAGTCTTTTGAAATTCCCAAATCAGGAGAAATTGCAATGCTTCTTTATGATGAGGTAGGTCTCATGCTTTGTGTGAAATGTATTGATGGAGCTATCAGGCACATGGGCAAATGGAAAGGTGTCAGTTAGGATGACCTCTACAAGCTTTTGAAGGAAGAGGCTTTTATCTGTTCGGGTTTTTCTTCTGATCTTTTATTTTATGTATGCAGATGTTTTGCTATCATGTATGTCTGTGAACCATATGGGTACAGTGCCTGCAGAAACCGGAAGAGGGCATTGGATTTCCTGGAACTGGAGTTACAGATGCTTGTTAGCTGCCCTTTAGGTTCTGGGAATTGAACCCATGTCCTCTAGAAGAGTAATCAATGCTTTGAACCACTAAGGAATCTCTACTGCTCTTCTTCTTCTTTTTTTTTTAATAAAAATATTAAATATTCTCAGTGGACAAAAAAGCTTATACTCAGTCCTCATTGTCTTGTTTCATGGTATCTTTGTAATACTGATTTTTTTCTCTTCTTTTAATTGCAGCATACTTGCTTTTTTTTTTTAAAAAAAAATGTCTTGTATATTCCAGGGGCTACATTAAGTATGAGGCCTGCCCCTATCCCAATAGAGGACCCTGAATGGAGACAAACACCTCCCCCAGTCTCTGCCACACCGGGAACATTCCGACTCCGGCGAGGGAGTAGATTTACCTGGAGAAAGGAATGCCTAGCTGTCATGGAAAGGTAATGTCTCCTTTTCCTGCAAGAACCCTCCCAGACCAGTTTCATTTCCAACAAGTAATCTGAGGTCCAGATTCTAGCTCTGCAGATATTATGGACTATTAGAATTGCTCTGTTGTTGAAATAAGAGAACTCACAAAACTGGGCTCAGCATCTATCGGCCTATTTTACCTACATAAAATTTAACGTTGTCATCGGAAACATACCAGTCTTTAAAGTTAATATTTTTAGATGTATACCTTTCTATTGTTTTGAAAAAGCTCTGTGAAGTCTTTATTTTATTGGTGCTGAACAGTAAAGGAGGGCACTGAGACTCACTTTTCTGCAACAGGGGAATGATCTCAATGAAGGGATTCCTCAAAGGTTAAAAAATACATTTAATAGAACCTGATCCATATCTGGTTTCCCTACATTTTGACAACTTCATTTCCCCCATCTGACATAGTATAAATACATGCTTATAACACGTTGCTATATTTGTATATATTCAAATTGTTCTTTAAGTACCCCCCACACACACCTTTCATAATTGATATTTATATGACTCCGGTTTGCTGGAGAGGTTGACAGGCAGTAGGGCCATTCTTACCTAATCTGACCACTAGTCTGGCATCTTGGACAGAACACTTGATGTGGATTCAGAAGTACCAAAACCTGATCGGGATCTATCAGGTCAGACACCAAAACTGTATCTTCCTTGTCTGTAAAATGAAAATGTCAGTAGCCAGCAATATGTTATCCAGCATGTTTGCCCTCTGTCTTCACCTACTTCATTGCTGTTTCCCAGTGCATTGACATCACCACCAGAACAAGGACAAGCTTTACAGTGTTGTAGTTCGGATGACATAAGTGAAGTGAATAGGTAGGCAAAATGGGACTGTCTGTTATCTACTGCTGTGAAGTACTCTCACTCACTCTTGACTGTGTCGAAGAGTAGAGTCATGTGTTTAATAATGACTCCATTTTTTCCTAAATGACTAAAGCGAAAGAGGGAGATGCGTGTTCTATGTTCTAGGGATCTGATTGCAGTCTGCTTCCTTTCATCTGTAAAGTTTGATTCTTTCTGAAAGTTTATTTCAAAATTTCTACATAGCAGATGAGAACGAAAATAAACCTAACTTATTCACAGCATTTTATATTTTCGTCTGGCTAACACAGTACATTTTGATACATTAGAACCCATTATAGGTTCTAATTACTGATGATACAGTGTTAAATTTTTCATTATAATATTAAAGTACATTTATCACATAAAGTCTATGAGAAAGGATTAAACATTAGAACATGAAAAAATAATAGGTAACATTCTTCCTATGTTGTAGGAATTGAACCTCAGGAACTTAGAGACTGGGTTTCCCTTTACTTCTGAATATTTCTTGCAAATCAGCAGTCAATAAAATCACACTGACTAAACTGTAGACAAAAAGTAAGTGTGTGTGTGTGTGTGTGTGTGTGTGTGTGTGTGTGTGTGTGTGTGTGTGTAAGATTCCTACTTAGTTTTAACATATTTTTAACCTAAATTTTAATTAATAATTATCTTCACCCTAGGATTTAGTTTTCTCTGGCATCATTTCCTCTTAACCTGGCACAGCTAGAGAGGGTGTGGTTGTGGATCAGGCCTGAGTTCTCAGAAATGCTGAAAGCCTTTCAAAGCATCTAGTAGCAATTGTCTTGATGATCTGCATCCTCCAAAACTGGAGTTTTGTATTCTCAGAAGTGGAACATGAAATGCCCTGGCCTTAGAGTAGCATGTCATGCTTTTTAGCATGTTTGTATAAATACACAGCCTAGCCAAGTAAGCCTTATGCAAATATATGTTTGTATAGGATAAAAGTAAAATCTATTCCATTCCACATGCCATAGAGGAAGATAAATTCAAATCAATTAGAGAAGTGAATTCATATACATAAACATAGGGTATCCCTTCATATCCTGGAAATGGGAGCCTCATAATCCAAAAGCAGAAAGGAAATGATGGATAAATATAAATGGAAAGAACTGCTGGGGTAAAACTAGGCAAAGTAGTACGGTAACTTGGAATAAAATATTTGCAACTTGTATCACTCTTAATATGTAAAGAGTTCCTAAATGAGATAAGACCAACAGACCTACAGGAAGATGGACTAAAGGGGAGTAGCAGAAAAATAATGCAAAAGTCCTAAAATTATTGTTATTACTTGTTTTGGTTTTCTTGAGACTGTCTAACTTTAGCCCTGACTAGCCTTCAACACATGGCAGTCCTCTGGTGCCAGCTCCAGATGCTGAATTTACAGATATAAACCCCTGCATCCCAGCAAAGATGCTAACCTTGAATCAAAAGTGATTCAAATTAAAACTCCACTGAGATACCATTCTTCACCCGTCACACTGGCAAAAATCACAAAGTTTGGCCAAGTTTTCTCTTGACTAGGCTCTAGAGGAATGGCATTCTCATCCATTGCTGTGGAAATGCAAAGTGGAGCATCTTCCATGGAAGAGAGCTGGGCAGTGTCAGGGTCAGTTACTAATGGAGTTGCCCTTTGGAACAGCATTCCTGTTTCCAGAAAATTATACCAAAGATACACTAGCAGATTAAAAAAAAAAAAAATCAAACAAGAAAAGCACTGTAATATAGGTCACAACATTGACAACAGCCAGACTTTTGTCAATAGTGGTATGGATGAATAAGTATTAACAAACAGAAAGGCCATTGGCATGGCTCAGCAGGTAAAGCACTTAGTGTGCAAGCCTGGCAACCTAAGTTCAATCCCTGGTACCTACATAAAGGTGGAAGTAGAGAGCCTCCTCCACAAAGTTGTCATATGACCTCCAAACACAAGTGTAAATGCACTTAAAACAAAAAACAAACAAAAATTCACTGTATTGAGATAGAGCTCACTTGTTGAAAGTGTATATTTTAAAGCCTTGAACATATCTATAGTCACACAACTGTCACCACATCTACTTTATGCCAACATGTCTAAGGGAAGTTACCCTCCATTTCTTCCATCCCTTTTTAATTCTGTGTAATCATAAATGAGTGTACAAATTTGCCTGCTTTGGACATTTTAATATTATGAGTGAATCATAGGAGGCCAGGCTAGGAGGCTGCTAGAATAACCTGAGCCTGAGTATTGGGGGCCTAAATGATAGTAAAAAAAAAAAGAGAAAGGGATAACATATGAATAGAAGGCACAACCATCAGAAAGGAATCTGAAGAAAGACAGACTATAACTAGCTATAGGTTTAGCATGGGAATGATGGCAGCAAGAGCATAAAAGGAGCTTAAGTTGGTGATGGTCAGGGAGGGCACTCACCAAGGAGCCTATACCATTAGAAAGTGGATTGACCTTGGAAAACCATTCAGCATCCCCACACTCCAATTCTTATGTTTATAAAATGAAAATTTAAGTGTAATGATAGAATAAAGGAAGATAAACTTCAGAATTAGACAAGGTTTGATCCTAGCCCCTCACCCAATCCTCTTATTGAATCATTGGGACCTTGGGGCCCTGGTAAGTTGACATGTGAAGGTTAATGGAGATAAGTATGAAGCAATAGTAGAATGCTTCCCTGGTAGTTAGTGCTGAGCGTGTGTACAGTATGTGTTTTCAGAGTAAAACTGTTCCAGCATTAAGTATGAAGTTAACCTGAGTCGACTCTGAAAAAGTTGTCATGACACTGGAAATGGGAACGCCTTCATTAAGTTATTTATGGCCCAAGCTGTGGGTACCGGTGACCTCTGGTTACAACTTTCAACTTACACACTTTCTGCATTTTCTTTTTTCTTTGTTTTCTTTTTTCTTTTCTTTTTTCTTTTTTTTTTTTTTTTTTTTTTTTTTTTTTTTCAGCTAAATTTAGCTAGAAGAAACCGTTAAAAACCCTGCTGATTTACCTCATTTTAGATTCATGACCATGAACCTCAAGTAGATTTTTAATTCTGACAGGCACTCATATTTGTCTTCCTGGCTCTCTCTTTCCTCTTTAAAATTATCGTACACTTTATTTTCTCTCTGAGAGCCCCTTAATCTCCTTCTCTTGTGGTGACCCTGCTTTACATTTGACTGAGAAAACTAAAGCTCATTCTCACAGGAGAATGTCCACAGACTATGATCTGCTAGCATGTACACTCATGTGCAGAGAATTGAGCATGTGCACAATTTTCCTATGCCTTACCACACCCAGAGCATCTCAGTGCTTTATTTTCCCCAGTTGTTATCACAGCGTTTTGCTTATAGTAGATGGTCATATGTTAGCATGTTAGGAATGTTGCTTTTTTTTTTTTCCTTTGCTGACTTTATTGCATTCTTTATCCTGTGTGCATGACTTTTCCAATATTGACTCTCAGAAACATTGATTATCACAAGGAACAATATTATGTGGTTCTATTTATACGGATATCTGGAATAATCAAATTTGTAGAAAAAGAGCATTCTTGGTATTTGCTCACACTGGGGAAGATAGAGGCCTGGGGGCCCAAGAAACAGCTGAGGAGCAAATAACTTTTATGAATATACTAAACATTTCAGATTTGTAAATTGTTCCACACGTGATTCACAGCTCAACAAAACTAAACATAAAAAAGGAAGACACCATTAGGAGCATCCCCTGTTTAACCCCACAGTTGATCCTCATTGCGTTCCTTTTCCAAATGAGGTAACTAAGGCTCAAGGGGGTTAGATGACTTCCTAAGGCCATAAATCCAGTGAATAGCTAAGCTACATGTGTTTCTCTAGGCAGTGCTAATTGCATATAAGTCCTATTCCTTGAAAAGAAAGGCATTTTCTTCTGTGTGTATGCAGTTGCTCTTAGTACATGAGCTAGGCCTTGGTTAGCCGAAGTCTTGTGCCCCTGGATTAACATCTCTTTCAGCCTTCTTTTTGGCTAAAACATATAAGGTTTTTAATAAGGAAAAGGTGCAGCACAAATGTTAATAACATAATTGGTTGGACAACAGGAACATGAGGAATCACAGGTTTATTCTATTTGTGTAGGTTAGTCATAATTCCTATTTAGAACAGTAT